TTTGCAGATTCTCTTGTTTCCACCATAAAACCAGTTTTCTGTCTGATTTACATCCAGTCAAACTGTTCTAAAGAATCTTTTTATACCACCCAATCCAATTTGCTGAGATTGTCAGTGGTTTAGTGTGGAGCCCACCCTGCAGGGTGGTCTTTAGAAGAAAGTTCCTCTCAGACACAAGTTGCTCCTGCGCTGCCACAGCGACCCGAGTCCTGCTGTGTCGATACAAATGACCGGTGGGATGATGAATGTTGTTGTCATTTCTACACGACGCTGCAGTTCTGGAGGGAGAGGAATCAATGTGCACCCCCCCACACAGCCCCCCAGCCCTCCTCAGAGACCCATTCTGCTCTCAATAACCTGGCTGCAGAGCTCACACAGTGACCACAGTGTGACAACACCTCGCTCTGCCTCTGAGCCAAGTCTGCATAAAGTCAATAAGTGGGAAACAGAAGCTTTTTCATCTTTAATAACACCAGAAGGTTGAGTTATAAATAAATACGTTGAAAAGAGGATCTCTACCTTTCACTATAAATTAAAGGGAAACTCACAGATTTATGATCATATATTTTAGTTAATACTGAAATATTAAGTATTATTTATACTGACAACATCATATTGAATTTTTGTAACAAAAAACATTAAAATTTTTTACACCAAAATAATTTAGGGGGGCTTTAAAATATTTTTAGGCCTAATGACGCCACTGTTGAAAACATTTCATTTCAACTCAATTTTTTCAAACTTAAGTTGCTCTGAACACATTTTAAACACTTAGTTTTGAGTTGTTGAGTTTTTTCTCTGTTGCACAAAGCTTTTTCTCACAACTACTGTATGTATTTATTTGTCTGGATCCATGTTGCATTTTGAGAATAAATCTATTTAAAATAAAAATAAAAACTGAAGTGTGGCTCCTGTTCTGGTGTCCAGATGGACGTGAGGAGAGAAGTGGTTCTGTCATCTGATGTTTACTCACACAGTGCTGCTCTTTTACAATCAGCACTCTCACAATAAACACATGAGAGCAGCAGGCTGCTTTAAAACATGTGATTCGGAGCAGATGGTGTTTCTTTGGTGGAGCACGTAAAAATCTAAATGAGAAATAATGGCAGCCGTATTTTATTATGTCATAAAAGTCAAAGGTAAACTGCCTGCCATACAGATCCTACTGTTCCTCCTGATTATTATGGTTCATTCAGAAGAAACGTTTGCTCTTTTTATTAATCCATCATCCATCCATCCATCCATCCATTTATCCATCCATCATCCATCTCATCATTCATCCATCATCATTCATCCATCCATCCATCCATTTATCCATCCATCATCCATCTCATCATTCATCCATCCATCATCCATCCATTCATTTATCCATCCATCCATCATCCATCTCATCATTCATCCATCCATCATCCATCCATTCATTTATCCATCCATCCATCCATCCATC